GTGTTTTTGATGTCGGGTAAGTTCGCCCACAGTGGACGCACACACGCCCAGTTGGCTCCGCCCAGTGGTGGTACCGTGGTCCAGAGTCCATTGTCGACCGAGATGGACTTTTTTGTTTCCACTTCGCCAAGCGCGACGGACTTGATGAGCTTTACAAGCTGCTTCTTGGTCCGTGGCTTTTTCGACTTCTTCGACTTGCGGCGCTTGGTTGATTTCTTTGACTTGCGTGCCATGCTTGGGTAGCGCGTCGCGCTGACCGCAGTCACGCATTTTATACGGTTATAAGAGGAGCGAGGAGCGAGGAGCGGGAGGACTGAATCTTAAAATCGTCCTCCCGCTATGGACCCTCTTGAGACCCCGATCGTTACAGCTGCCAAGCTAAATGCGTGCAAGTTCTTTCTAACTTACGCACGCACCGAAGACAATGTCGCGTTCGATGGGGACGGCCTCGCTGACTTCCTCTTTGGAAAACCGTATGCGACCTATGTCAGGCTTAACCGGGAGTACCACGCAGACGATGGGCTCCACTGGCATGCCATTGTCACTTTCTCTCGTCGGTACCAGGGAACCGTCGCCACATGTTTCGACTACCTGGGACAACACCCAAATATCCGAGTTATCCGAAGCAGAAAGCACGAGTTCTTCTGCATCGACTATGTCGTCAAAGACGGGTCAGAACACCTTGCCGAGCGAGGAATTGTTCCATCGCCCGACATTGAAGAGGAGAAACGCGATCCTTGGGCAGAGGCGTTGCAGTGCTCAACATGCGTCGGGGACTTCATGTCAGCAATCGAGTCAAGTGCCCCCAGAGACTTCGTTCTTCGATACTTCGACCTTCTCGCGTTCGCCAACGAACGCTTCAATGCCCCGTCGAGCTACGTCCCCGAGTTCCCCCGAGACAGCTTCACTGTCCCGGCAGCAGCTGACGAGTGGGTTAATAATGTGTTTGGAGAGGTAATTTCGGGCTCTTGAACCGCCTATGGGCGATCCGCTTTTCTGAATGAGTATTGAATTTGAACAGTTTTCTTATTTTTCAGGTTAGACCGTCTAGACCAAAGACCCTCATGGTCGTCGGCCCAACGCGGCTGGGCAAGACCGAGTGGGCGCGGTCGCTGGGCAGGCACATATACATGTGCGGGCTCTTCTACTTGGGGGCGTGGGACAACGAAGCCGAGTACCTGGTCATCGACGACATCTCGTTCGAGAGGTTCGGCGAGTCGCGGAAAGCCTTATGGGGGTCGCAAAAAGAGTTAACACTTAGTGATAAATTTGCGCGTAAACGGGTAGTCAAATGGGGGAAACCAATGATAGTGTTATGTAATCCTGGAGATGATTTTAGGTATCTGCAGGATAAACGGGGTAATCCCATACTTAGAGTAGGGGAATTAAACTGGTATAACGATAACACAGAAGTGGTTGAAGTCCATAATAAATTGTATGCGAATTAGTACGTCGGTCGCCCCATGCGAATTAGTACGTCAATTACTTAGGCTACACTTACGGCCTGGAAAGGCTTAAGTAGGGAAGAGTGGTGTTATTGATTACAGTATCCTTGATCAAGGAAAAACAAACCGAAAAAGAGGATTCGGAACTTTAAAACAGAAAGAGAATCATTATTTACAGAATCAACAACATAATTAACTTATGAGTTCTTTTGTCGTTGGCAGGGGGCAGGGGATTTTATTAAGCGTCCTTAAAGTATACTATATTCTCTAGTATAACGGCGCTATTTGTAGATATGTCCGTGTTGTTGTTCCTCCAACCTTCCAGAATCATGTAGTAATCCCTTCCGGTGTTCAGACCCCAGATATTGTTCGCGATAGTGCTGTCTTCGGAAGCCTTCTTGAACTTGCGATTGAACTTATGATAGTGGTCTATCATAGTGAACGACTGGGGGGTATCGTGATTGTTGGTGAAGCGCTTGCCGCTGCTCCACAACGGTTTGATGCGTTGCATGTTGAACGTCCGGAACGGCGATGGCATGTTGGCTGAGCCGAACTCGTACCATGACGCCGGTATGGGGCCCGCCTGCAGTGGTGTTCCAAGATCCTCACTTTTGGTGGTGGAGACGATGGTCATGCGCCATGTCGTTGCGATCGGGGTTGTAGCGTTGTAGCTGAAGGTGAACCGCGTACGAACGCCTCTAACGAAGATTTCATCTCCGATAAAGCTCCCCTGATCCGACGGCGTAAGGGTGTTTTTGATGTCGGGTAAGTTCGCCCACAGTGGACGCACACACGCCCAGTTGGCTCCGCCCAGTGGTGGTACCGTGGTCCAGAGTCCATTGTCGACCGAGATGGACTTTTTTGTTTCCACTTCGC